GCCGACAAGCCCCCAGCTTCAACTCGAGCCGCAGCCGCAACCCGGCCGCTGCCGCTGCTTGCGCCACCCGAGCAACCCACCCATCGCCACAGCAGCGCAGCTCAAACCCAGACAAGCTCAAATGCTGATGCTGGCCGGGAAACCATGAGGGGCTCGTGACTGCGAGCTCAGGGGCGTCAGACCAGGTGCTGTGCCAGTCCGCGCGCACCGCACGCTCCATACCGTCGATGACGTCATCAATGGTGTCCGCCGCTGCAAACTGCTGTCCCATAACCTGCAGCGCAACCGCCTGCTGCACCTGTACCGCCGCTGTATGCAAACAGATCAGGGCAGGCCCGCTGACCTCCCCGCAGCGCTGGCACAGGTTGTGGCAACGCACATTGGCGCGGGCAGCGCACCCAAAGGGCGGCTTCACTGGCCTCAACTGCGCTAAGGCAAGAGCTGCACATACAGAGTGTTTGGCTCTGCAAAAGAGCGGCACTCTGACGCTCTCACTGTCCTGCGGAGAATCGGCAGACGCAATGTTTGGCCGGCTGTCGAGAGGGTCAAAAAGGGTTGGTGCGGGTTACGCGCGGGGTGGGGCGGGGGTCGGGCGAGGGGCAGTTGCCATGCGCTGGACGAGCGTGGCAGAGCATGCATGTATGACAGAACGCCTACGATTTCTTGGTGCTGGAAGGCCATCATGCATGGCATGGGGGGCCCTTGCTGGCAAGCGTCTGCATCTCTGCATCTCTGCAGCTCAGAGCAGCGGGGGCGATCGTGCCGACCAGCTGACCCTTCACAGTTGGCCTTATCAAGGGTGACTTCGATTATATGATCTCATGATTGAACTGGACCATATGCTCGCAACTGACTGCTTTCACATCATACTTATTCGAAACTAGGCGCATGACTCTTGCTGCCACCTCGTCGATGTTGCAAAGCACATATTCACCCAGCCGGTCTTGAAACAGAGTGTTCTTCAAAGTCAGTCGTTCTGTTGAGCCATGCATTCGCTCGGCGCGGACGGCCTGCTCAGCTGCAGCAGCAATGTTTGCCCACCGCTTTTGCGGCCAGCTCGATGCATCCGGGCGACGAAAGCGATTGACAGCTGCTTGTTCACCTTCAATCTACCTCGCCGGGCGCTGTTTGGCTCGCGGCTGTCGAGTGCCTGCACTGCCGCCGCCGCCGCTGCCGCTGCTGCCGCCGCCGCCGCTGGCCCACCCAGTTGTGCCAGGCGCGCCTGCGCGTGTGGTGCTATGGCCAGCGGTGCGGGCGGCAGCGGCAGTGGCGAAGACGAGGCGTTCTATGATCAGCTCTCTGACGAGCAGCTGAAGCGCTGCAGCTATGCACGTTATGCCGCCAGGCGCAAGCGGAGGGTCGAGGAGCGGGATGCGGCGCGGCTGACAGAGGATGAGCGCATGCGGCGGAGCAAAATAGGGGAGGCCAACAAGGGCAGGGTGCCCTGGAACAAGGGGCGAAAGCACACACCCGGTGCGGGGGCAAGAGCAGCCTGCTGCAATGGTGTAAGCGCACTGAAGCTCGATTGTGCTCGAGGCGCGGTGGTTCATGCCAGCGAGCTATGCAGCAGGCATGCCGTCACCTTGACGGCAGGCCGTGACACCTTGTCCCTGCTTGGCGCAAACAAATTGAGGGCTACACGCACCTTGTGCCTCTGTGTGCCGGCGCCGGTATGCACGGTCTGCCATCTTTTGGCGCACGTCTCACGCCCACTTGCCGCTGTCGCCTTTGAGCAGAGACAATTGAGAAGATCCGGATGCGTACCAAGCAGGCTATGGAGTCTCCCCAGGTTCAGCGCAAGGTGGAGGCCTGGGTGGAGACGCGCGTTGGAGTGGAGATGCCGCCCGAGATCAAGGAGCGCATCAGCGGCTCGCTGCGCAAAAAGCTGCAGAAGAAGAAGGTGCGGCGCGCGGCATGGGGCAATAGTTCTTGAGCGTTAATTTCTGCGGATGCGCTCTTTGCAGCTGCTGTGCAAACGCGTCATGCCGTGCGTGGCCCCCTGGTTCAGCAGCTGCCAGGTGTGCAGCTCAACTGTGCTTGGCTGTCGCGTCTCAGGGCGCCTCCTTTGCTCACGTGGAACTTGACATAAGCTGCTGCAACTCAGTTTGCGTCGTCCTGCGCTATCCCTTGGTGCTGCTCGCCCAATCAACCCGTATTGGTGCTGCTGGCACCCCAGGCCGAGAAGACTCCCGAGGAGATCGAAGCCGACCGCGAGGCGCGCCGCGAGCGCATGCGCCAGCAATGGCAGGTGCGTGCAATAGAGCAAAGGGCTGACGAGCTGATGACACCCGAGCGCCTCCGCACGCCCTTAAAATAGTTCCATACTTGAACTGGGCCGTTGCATTCCAGGAGGTAGGAGCTGCCGAGCAGTGTCTCAAAACTCAGACCATTTTAAAGGCGATGCGTCTCCTCACCCCTTTGGCACCACCCCCCTCAGAAGCCCGAGTACGCCGCGTCTGTTGCCGCTAAGCTGAAAGCGGCAGCTGAACGCCGCCGCGCCGCCCAGAATGCCGAGCTGCAGCGGCTCGCCGAGGAGGACCCAGGGTTAATGGACAAGGTGCGAGGGGAGGAGCTGGCCAGGCAGCGGGCCGCCAAGGCGCGCACCAAGGAAAACAAGGCGGCAAGGCTGGCGCGGCTGATGCAGGAGGATCCGGAGGGGTACCGGAAAGCTGTGGAGGAGGAGGAGCAGGCGGCACACGAACGCCGCGAGCGCCACAACAGGGTGCGGCGCGAGCGGCGGGCGGCGGCGCGAGAGGCGCGTGAGGCGGCTGGGCTGACGTTGGGAGCGCGGCGGTCAGGGCGAACGGGCGGCGGCGGTGGCGGCGGTGGTCTGGCAGCCTCCTCCGCCCCCCGCAGGCCAAGGGTTGAGTCCCAGGGCAGCAGCCGGGGCACCACCAAAAACAGCAGCAGCAGCGCCATCAGCAGCAGCAGCAGCAGCAGGCGAAGGGCAGCAAAAGACGCAAAGGCGGCGGCAGATGAGGCGGAGGAAGAGGACACGGGCATGCCTCTGGTGAGCAGTGGCCGGTCTTTGCGCGGCAGCAGCACAGCAGCTGCTCCCAAGCGGCCGCGCACCAAAAAGGCAGCTGCTGACGGCGCTGACGGGAGCGGCGCAGGTACCAGCAGCAGCGGAGAGGTAGGCAGCAGCGGCAGCGCACGCGCGCGACGGGCGGCGGGCAGGGCCTCGGCCTTGGCAGTGGCTGAGGTGCAGGCGCGGATTCAGCGGCTGCAGGAAACGCGGCAGCTGGTAGCACAGACTCAGGAGGTTATTGAGAAGCTGCAGGGGCAGATGGGCGCGCTTGCAAACAACCCGCAGATGGAGCAGCGCGCTGCGGCTGCGCTGGCACAGGCACGGTTGCGACTGCAGGCTGGCCAGCAGCAGGTCGTAGAGCTGGAATGTGGCATTCCACCGGGCGTGGTGTGGGATCATCGCACAGGGGTAGTCCAGGAGGTGCGGGACGCCGAGGGGCTCTCACGAGACCTTGGCAACAGTGCTGCGGCACTGCGGGGCGCCAGCAGAGGAGGGGGCCCTGCTCACGGCCAAGCGCAGAGCAACGGACATGTGGTGGCAGGTGGCGGCGCAAACGGCGCAGCGTGGCTCAACGGCATGGGGCCCAACGGGGCTGAGAGCAGCGAGGCGGTCAGCAGGTATGTTGCGGCGGCGCCAGCAGCGGCGCTTGGCCCGCGGCTGCAAAACATTTTGACTGGCGCTGACGACGGGGTACAGCACCGCAGCGGCGGCGACAGCACTTGAGTGTGCATAGGGCAGGAATCCCACTTGTTATGCTGATCATCACAACCTGCCTGCAGACCAATCAGGTCCGGCTGTGTTGTCAACAAGTGCCCGTGCGGATTGCATTGATTTCATTCGTGGCATGCAGATCATGGCAAGGGAACTTGTACAAAGTTGTTCTGTGTATGCCAAGGCTGTGTCCGCTTGCACATGCGGCACATAACAATAAAGGACGACGACCCAACAAAACAGTATAATCGGTGTAATATACAGGCGGTGGTACAACGTAGGCGGCATGTCCTAAGCTGGCGCTCCTGCACAACCGGCGCAAGAGCAGCCAAGTGTGGTGGCGAAACGGCAATCAGAAGCACAAGCATTCAGGGACCGCGGATGGCACCCAACGGTCGATAGCAGCAAAGCGTCAACTGTGGCTGTTGGTGCTTGCCTGCTACACATTTTGCATGGTAGCGTCAACAGGCATCGCCTCAAGAGCCGCCTTTTTCGCCATCTCACCCGCACCGCGCCGCTCACTCCAGCGTCTTCTCTGCCAGCCGGCGCACGCGGCGGTTGTATGCTACGCGGTCCGCAACATACTGGTGCGCTGCCTCGGGGTTGGCAGGACTGCTGCAGTTAGGGTCTGTCAGGAGTGATTGGATGGACGTGAGTAGGGTGCTGACGCTGTGACATGGCGACCAAGCATCCTGCAGCAGGTCCAGGCAAAGATGTCCGTCAGAGTAAATCTGCAAGGAAGCGGAGGAGACACGCGTGAATCATGCTGTGTGCGCAGGAGAGTCACATTGGGGACAGCAGAGTGGCTTCGGGGGATATTCAGCATGGTGCAAAATGTCCAGCTATGAGCTCTGACGTTGGCTGCTGCCCTTAAAATCTGCCAGTCGTAAGCGAGCATGCCGTTGCAGCCACGAGCAGCCGCCCAAACTGTTGCCGCAGCGCCACCCCACGCCCACAGCAAGCTCTCACTCCTCACACACAAGCTCACGTTTGGGTGCCACATCTCCGAGCAGAACCGGACCCGTGGCGGCCGGCTGGGGTACGCATCTGTGAACGTGAGCTTCAGCGAGAAGATGCCGCCGTCAAAGGGGGAGTCCGCCGGACCCAGTATGGTGGCGGCCTGCGGGTGCCAAGTGAGCATGTTGACTGCAGAAGCCAAGTCGTGCGCAGTGCAGTGTCTGTGCATGCAGCAATTGCTGATAAATCTTTGGCTGGAGCACGCGGCAAAGAGCTTCCCGACTGTTGCAACATCCATCCTGGGGTGGTCCCAAACAAGATCTTCGGGTGATGTGGACGCGGTTGCGGGCGCCCTCAGCCGCGCCTTACCCAATTGAACAAATCATCACCCTCGTTGTTAGGGCTGGCGCTACAGCCCTGGGGCACAGGTGTTGTCAATTTGTGTGTGTATGTGAATCGTGAGCATGTTGTGCGTTGTGTAGGGGTTTGGGGGGATGGCGATGGGGATGGTAGTGGGCGTGTGGGGGTGGTGGGATGGACATGAGGGGGATTGGTGTGTGCGTGTGCAAGTGCACGTGCGCTGAAGGGGGGGTATTTATCCGAGGCCGTCGCAGGGCGCCTTTCTGTACAGTGCAAGCTGTACATTCCACGAGCCTGACACCACCCGCAGGACGCAAGCGGCCAAGCAGCCCCCAGCCAGCTGGGGCGCAACTCGGGTGCAAGTCATGCTGCAGGTACACGCCACGCTGACACACGTATTTGCAAGCAACAACGATCCGCTGCGCCGCTTGGCCCTCTCCCCACCTCTGGCGGTGACGTTTTCATGTCCCTCAGGTCCGCCATGAGGCGCAGCATGGCTGCAGACGCCATCCTGTCAGCAGATTGCTGCTGCTGCTGCTGCTGCTGCTGCTGCTGCCGCCGCCGCCGCCGCTGCCGCTGCTTCTGGGAAACACTTCCAGGTGCCTGCTGAGCCTGCGGGCGGCATGTCGCCAGAAGCGACATGAATTCAGGGCAGGTTGAGTGCATGAGTGCAGCGCGAGTCAGCGTCCCCAGGGCGCGCTGCGGCACAAGAAGAGGGTGCAGCAGGTTGCATGCCATGTGTCTACTTGCGTGAGAAACCCGCAGCTGCGAGGTGGCGGGCCGCTGGCGCTGTGGTTGCGCTCGGGCGCGGCTCACAAAGGACAACGAAGCTGCAGGTCTCAGAGATGGCAGGATGCGAGTGTGTGGTGCAAATGATTTCGTTGTCTTGGTGGTAGTAGCAACCTGGATTCTCCCTAATCCATCAAAACACAGACAACGGAGACTGTGCTGTGCGGTCCAACCCTGCACCAGCCAGGGCCTTGTGGGAGAGGTTTTGTCTACTGATGTAACGTTATACGTGTGTTGCGTGACGAGTGTGCATTTGCGTCTGTGCAAGTAGCGTCTACACACCAGCGACGTGCCGTGCACCAGTGCAACACCTCCCCTCCCACCTTGGAGAGCAGGGATTTGAGCGATATGGGGCATGCTGCAGTATTATCAAGGATTTTTATGACACATAATCACCCCAGAGTATGCAGGAGGTGACGAGGGCTGCTTTACCGGGGGGCGCTGGCCGCAACCGAAGACACCGATGTGGCCATGTGGGCACAAAACGCGTGGGGTATCCATGCCCATATCCGGTCAACGGCATCCATGGTGGCAACCATTGTATCGAGTTAGTGTACACGCGCAGGTGGACAGTGTATGCACCGTACAGGCCCTGTGCGCGCGGGTCCTATTGCGCGCCGTCAAACCTTCTTGGCTCGGCTGATTGGAGATCTCCTTTAAAACGTCAGGATGGCTGCATCAAGGCGCCAGGTCAGGACACTCGCTCATTCCAGTAGGAATGAAATAATGGCTGGTTTGAGACCGGATTGTGGCCAGCGGCCCCTATTCCTGCACCTGCAAGATTATGCAATTGAACAGTGCTGCAACCTCCAGACCAAAGCTTGACGACTCTGGTCGCCACCATTGCCAGTTGTAGACCCCATGAGACCCGGCTCGTGAAAGTTTCATCAAAGGAACTGTGGGGGTTGGAGCTTTGTTTGGGCGACAGGGGGCCATCCTTGATCCTAATCTGACAGGCACGCTATGACCCCAATCCAGCACCAGCGCCCAAACATGATGTGAGATTGGCCAAAAAGTTTCAAAGGTCGTGCACGCTCTAATTGGCGAAGCTCGCTGGGCACTGACCTGAGACGGCGACCTGTCACGCGAGTCAGGTCACCACCGCGAGGTGCTTGACATGCAACAGCGAATGCGCTGATGTTGGACAGCGCAACCCGCCTTGAAAGGCAGGTGACTGTCCGCTGCACCGCGCACTGCAAGTGCCTTGCAGCCGCATGGCTATCCTTGGCGAACCCGCCCTCTCCTGAAGCCACCGCTGCGCAGAGCAACGTGGGTGCTGCGTCTCTGTGCTACGTACAGTCGTATGCGCGTGGCCGGCCACCAAGTGTGCGCCGACAATCCGCATGCGCAGAGTGGCAATCTTGCAGCTCTTTTCCTCTACCTAGCTGCTGGCTGCATCACTAGTACTGAGCATAGCATCATTGCTTCCCTGTGTAAGCCTCAGCGTTGTACTTTCCAAGAATTGAGTGACTAATATACAAATCAAGGACTGTGCCCACCACAGCAAGAATCGTTGCAAGTCAACGTGGGTGGGCCGCACAAAATGACAAAACCAAACAACAATCCGTAATCACACTGACCAGTGCTTTCAGTGTCCCTGAAATCCACCATGTAAACATCAAACAAGCAAAGATGCTACTCAACTCCACATTGACGATGTCATAAAGATAGAAACCTGTCACAATGCTTGTGGTGACGATACTGAAGGCCACGCGAACGGCTTGTGGGGCTGAGTGCTGACCGCAGGCAACAGTGCAACAGGGGCGCCCATAAACCCTTTGTGACGCCCTTGCACGAATACACACAAGCAAAATGCACCACAGATGCACACCACTGTGCCATGCAGCGACAAGGAACTGATTGTTAACGTGTGGCGCCTGGAGTAACCACCCACCATGGGCCCCGCACACGGCAGATGTGACGAGGAGTGGTGTAGATCAAAGCTGTTTGTAACTATAAGAAAAATCACCGAATTCGCATGCATGCAGTGAGGAGCACGTCGTTACACTGGTGACTGGAGGAGCCCATCACCGTAGACACCCACACGGCAATTGTGGCAAGCAGCGGTGTGCACAAAGCGAGTGGGGTATCCCTGCCCGCCCTTATCCCCTCCACTGGTACTCGTTGATACACCAAATCACCTGCGCGGTAGGCGGCAGGTCGACCGCGACCGCACGAAGAATCTTATAGTGTGATAACCTTCATGGTTGCACATTGCCAGTTGTCCTATGGCTCTTTGCAACTAGGTTGGCATGCTGGCCGGCGCGAAAAAAAACTAAAAAAACTGAGATAACAACGAAAAACTGCGGAAAACTGCGGAAAACTAATAAAAACTACGAGAAACTACGAAAAGCTAACAGCAGCTACGCAAACCCACGGTGCATCGAGCCAGATCACTCAGCGATCTTGTATATGTAAATGATGATATGTGTTTTTTTGGTTGTTTTCGTAGTTTTTCTAGTTTTTCTAGTTTCTGCGGCAGCACGCCGGCCAACATGCCAACCTAGTTGCAAAGAGCCATAATCATGCCTGCTGGTCACATGAATGAGTCACTTGCGCAACTTGCGACGCCATGTGCTTGAATTGGCCGCCCAGTACCGCATTCTGTGAGTGCTGTCAATTTGGCAGACATTCATGCGTTTCATGTTCACTCCTATTGGGCTCGTTGTCGACAACCAGCAAGTCAGATCAGGAACAAGCGACCATCCCAAGCACGCACCTTCTATGCCATGCAGGACTCGCTCATCTACGTATAGATAAATACCGTCATCCTTTTGACCCAGCAGATCGCTGCTTGCGGCACCCAGGCAGCAGCCCGCCACCATGCGCTTCCGCGTTGAGATAGAGCTCGCGGACTCGGAGATACCTGTGGCCACAGAGATACTCCAGGTTATCAGGTGAAGGAAGTGTGCTTGGCGCTCGGCCATGATGCGTGACCTCTCGGTCGACTGATCTTGCCCCGGATCTGGCCGCAGGCTCCTCACCGAGCACGTCAAGGGGTCGCAACTAGTTGTCAATGGCGTGCCATCAGCAGCACAGCCTCCAGCAGGCCAGGGGCTGGCCCCTGCGGCGCTTCCTGCAGCGCCCGCAGCAGTAGCAGCAGCGCCGCCGCCGGTCGCGGCCAGCACAGCATCCTCGGCGCAGCTGCCGCTGAAGGAGCTTGTTCGCAGCATTCTTCTGCGTGTCACGCCAGATGGCGCGAACGCTGAGCAGGTGCGGGCTGGTGGCAGCAGAGGGCTCGCTCACGACAAACACAAGCACATCGTACATGAGTAATGGGCGCGTGATGGGCTAAGCTTCCTCCTTTCAGTTGCCCTCAAACCTGCGACCGCGCACCCCACTTCCCTACCCCCCACTGCCTACCAAGCACCTCTCCTCCCAAACCCTTCATTCAGGTTGCCAAGGAACTGGCCACCGCCCTGGCCACTGCACGACAGCAGCACCCCAGCGGGGGCGATGAGTTCATGCGCACACTCCCAGAGGAGTTCACAGAGGCGTTCACGGGGGTGGCTTTTGATCCCTCGCTCCTCAAGGCGCAACGCGGCTCGGTGGGTGGGGCAGCCAGCTCACAAGGCTGGCAAGTCTTTGTGCAAAGTTGGGTAGCCGTGGCGTCAGCAGCGGGCCTGCCGCTCTCACAATCTTGACGACAGGGAGAATCCCCCCTCCGTCAAAATGCATGCTGCTGTCACCAGATTCCCTGCGAGCACAATAAGCTCTGCTACTCTGCTTGCAGGTCTGCCTTCTCTCCTCCAAGGCGCACTGCCTCCCTCCCCTCCACGCCCGCTGTGCCCCCCACCCGGTCAGGCGCCGTTCGTGCGCGTTCTGGCCGCCCTGCCAGACCCCTACGGCAAGGCGGTGTCGGGACTGGTCGTCAGGAAGACGTTGGGCCAGGTGCATTATTTGATCTTCTGTTCTCCGTAGTTGGCTCCAGCCTGCAGTGTGCTGCGAACGCATGCAAGCCGTGGTCGCTTCAGCGGCTCAAGGAGGGTGCAAAAGGCACATGCCGCTCGCCCAGCTGAATGCAAATCACGCCCTTCAGCCCAGCCCCCCACCCAACCTTCACCTGCGCCAGGTTACAAAGAAGCGTGCGGAGGATGCGCCCCGCGACAGCTTCACGTTGCAGGCTGAGGCCTTTGCCATGCTGGCGGCCATGGGGCTGGTGGCCAACTTTGATGGTGGGCACTGGTTGCGCAAGGGTTTGGGCGACAGGTGCATGCGGCAACCGCTTGCGACTCCATTTTGTGCTGCATGCCAACCAACAAGTGCCTGTTGCTGGGACTGCAGACCAAGCCTGGCACACACGCCTTCGGATTTGCTCACGCTTGCCCTTGCCCCACTCTCAGTCGCCCGATGTCACGTCCCTCACCGCACCGCCTTCACTGCAACCAGGCGCCCTGGTCAGCATGGAGCGCGTGCTGCGCAAGCCAGAGAATCGTGCAGCAGCTCTTGACACGCTCTGCTACGTGGTCCAGCAGTCGGAGGCAAAGCTGTCGGGTGGCGCCGCCAAGAAGGAGACCCTGGCACTGCTGCTATCCAGCATCGACGGGCTGGGCGACCCCCGCTGGGCGCAGGAGACAAACTTCCTGCGCAGCAAACTGCAGCCGCTGGTCCAGGGCGCGCCGGCGCCCGCGCCGGCGCCGGCGGTGCCAGTGCCGGTGCCAGTGCCGTCAACGCCGGCAATGTCTGCACCACCGCAGCAGCAGGTGTGGGCGGGTGCCCATGGGGCGCGATGGTTCCCGCAACATGAGCGCCTTCTTACCACGTGAACGCTGCCTTCAAGTCTGAAGTGGGCATTAGGAAAATTGGAAATGCGATCCAGAAATTGGCGGCACCCACCCTGACCTATTCTTCATTGTGCCACCCCTACTCTTACACTGCACTGCACTACACCACCCCGCACCGCACCGCACCGCACCGCAGGGCGTGCCAATGCCGGTCCCTGTGCCGGTGCCAGTGCCGGTGCCCATCCCAGCCCCTGCGCCGCCGCCGGCGGCGGCCTCTGCGCCTGCGAGCACGCAGCTGGTGACCAACAAGTCGGTGCCGCTGGCAGCCGGCTCAATCTTCTCGCTGTGCTATGAGCCCAGCAAGCAGCAGCTGGTGATTGGCGGCAAGGACACGCCGCTGACGGTGGTCGGCCCGGGTGGAGAAATTGTGCAGCAGTGAGTCCTGCTGAGAATTGTTTTTCGGCCTGGGATGGAGTGCGCCAGAGTGTGTCTGGGGCCGCCTGCTACACTTCCAATTGGCTGTGGCTTTTTCGGCCTAAATTGTGCAGGGTTGACAGGTTGCCATGGTCCAGGTCAGCGGGGCTGCAACTCTTTTGGGTCTCTGTGCTGGCTAGATGTGCTGAATCAATTTTGGTGAAGCCCAACCCCAAATTCTTGAGTTCTGGCCTGCACAGCAGGGGGTCGTGCAACCTGCACCCTGCCTGCGAATCCTCCTGGACACAGGCCCCTCTCACCGTCCTCAACTTACCCGATCATGCAGGTTCCAGCACCCCAACCAGTTTGTGTGCGCCGTGGATGCCTTCCCGCAGCATCACATCGCGCTGGCGTCGCTCTCAAGCGTCCCTGATACTGGCGTGTCCACCGGCATTGCTGTGTACAACTCCAACCCCTGGGGCATCAGGTGCGCATGCGTGAGGGGTGCACATGCCATGGCAAGGCGGGGAGGGCTTCGCGGGGTGTTCAGTATGGTTGAGGTGGGACGATTGTGGGTCGAGGCATACTTTATACGAGAGGAAATGGGCGCAGTGCACTGGAGCGCGCCATGCGTGTGAGACCTAGGCGCGTGCTTTTGCTTCACGCAGTATCTGATGCACCTCAGCTTCCCGGGTCGGCACATTCTCTCGGGCGCAAGCACCAAGAGGGAGTGTTGCCGCTGTCCGCAACGCCCCGACGCCCTTGCGCCTGGAAACCCCTTGCCGCAGGAGCACCATCAACCGGCCAGGCACGGAGATGCTGGCATGCCTGCGGTGCCTGCCTGGAACCAACACCTTTGTCACCGGAGAGTCCTTCAAGACCGCGACGCCAGAGGTGGGCGGCCCGTGCTGGCCAGGGGGTGCAGCGGGGTGAAAGAGGGCCGCAGGCCAGCTAGACCGCCGCACAGGCTTGCGCCCTGTGGCGCACAGCCCGCTGGACCCCAAGTTGCGGACATACCAGCACGACTGTTTTGACCTGACCACATCGCCCCATTTGCAGGTGTTCACGGAGGCAGTGTGCATGTACGACCTGGGCAGTGCGCTGTCGTCGGGCGTCAATGCGCAGCCGCTGCGCACCTGGACCGAGCACACAGACCTGGTCAGCTGCCTCTCGCCTGTGCCAGGGTCGCCGCACATGTTCCTTTCAGGTAGGGCCCAGCTGTGATGGGGGACCCGGCTGCGCTGATTTGCTGTGGTGTTTGCAGGAACAGTCGGCGAGTCTGTGTGTGTGTGTGTGTGTGTGTGTGTGTGTGTGTGCGCGTGCGCGCGCGCATGCGAGCATGTGTTTGGGGGGGGGGGGCGTGTGTATGTGTGTTGATGAGCGTGCGTGTGCGTGCTTGCCAGTACGTGCGCGCAGGCGTCGGCACGATAGCACGTTTTTTTTCCAAGGCGGCTCATGGACCATGTGTGCATGTGCTTGCAGGGGGGTTGGTGGGTGGCATTGTTTCAGTATGCACATACACATGAGCAAACTTATGCCCGGTGAAAGTGGGTTGGTCGGGAGTGCCAATGGCTCGGGAGTGCTGTGCGGCACATCAAGGTCCTGGTGCCTGCAACTTCTTACCCTCTCTGCTGGCACGGACGTCACACCATCCCCGCCCGTGTTGCCCTGTCTATCTCTCCACCAGGCTCCCGGGATACGACGATCAAGGTGTGGGACACGCGCCTGGAGCGCAGCGCCGGCGCTCTGCAGCACACGCCCCCCAGCCCTGCAGCGCACCACCTCATGGTCTCGTGCATAGACGCCGCGGCGGGCGAGGCGCTAGTTATCAGCAGCAGCCTGGATGGCACGGTCTCGGCCTGGGACCTGCGGCGGATGGCGGGGCAGCCAGGTGCCGCGGCACCGGTGCTGACGGTGCAGGTGGGGTTGTGTGGGTCGGTCTGGAGGAGTACAGGGATGATGCTGTGCCGGCAAGTCTTTGAACAGCAGCTCTTTTCGCGCCAATCGTTTCAAGGTGACTTTGTTGGCGACGGTGCACCTCACTTTTGGCCTGAGGTGTGGTGTTTCTGTGCAGCTGGCTTCCATTGCCTAATTACACTTGTCTTGTTTGTTTAGCTACTCCAATATCCAAACCCTTCCCTCCCACATCTCACAGGTGGACGGTCAGGCCGTGCTCAAGGTGGCGCTGGCAGACACGCCCTACCCACGGCTGGCGGCGGTGGCTACCGTGGCGGGTATCTACGCCCTCGACCTGCAGCCCTGTGAGTTTTTTTGGGCCTGCGTGGCATGTTGCGTGTGTATGGGGAGGTTATGTTGTCAGCTTGTGGCCAAGCAGGGTCACACGTCCCAGGATCTTGCTGACGCTTCGTGTGTGGTATGGTGACTGCTCCTCAAAACCTGTTTTACGCCGCCTTCCTCATCCGCAGCTGGCCAAGAGCTGGTGGTCACCAAGGTGGTCCAGGGCACGCTTGCGTCGGACGTCACCAGCCGCCAGTTCAACGACATCCGCTGGGGCCGCCACCAGGGACAGCCCGTGCTGTTTGCAGCTTGCAGCGACCGCCCACGCGTCGACGTGCTCAGCGTCCTTGTGTGAGCGTGGGCAATGGCAGCCCGCGCAGCAGCAGCAGCAGCAGCAGCAGCAGCAGCATGGGGCGTATGCTAGGGCATGCGGTGCGCCTGCTGGGGCTGAAGGCAAATGTGCAGGTCGTGGGCGGTGGAAGTCCGCGGCGGTGGGGCAGAGCAATGAGCAGTGTCCACACGCATCTGGGATGATGCAGCTGCGCCGCCGCATGTGTGGCACGCGCGTGCGCGTGCGTACTTTCGAAGGCGGATGCCAGGCACGTTGGGGCCAAGGCTTCGCAGCAGGAGCAGCAGCAGGTGTGCCCGGCCGGATCACGGCCGTCAGTCATTTTCAAAAATTGAACAACACGAGGATGGTAGCTCGCCTATCCGCTTGCATGCTTGCATTTTTCAGCGTACGTAGTGAACGAGTCGATTGCTGAGATCAAACTGGATGTGCGGATGCTTTCAAAGTGGTATTTGTGTCACCAGTGGTAATTGCCGACGGCGAGGGGGCCAGAGTTGGTGCCTGCAGCGGGGCGCGCGGGGGCTGGCTGGGACGTAAATCTGTCGCGTGTGCCTTTGTGCCCACTGCGTCCTGTGGCGCCGTCCTCAACCGGCGGGCATGATGTACCTAATCGTCAGCGGTGGCCGGTGGGCATGAATTTGACTTCAATGGCTCAATACTTGTCACAATACAGGACATGAGAGCACGAGCCTTCACTGCAAGCACTACGGAACTGCAACTATAAGCAAGGCGGTTGGGTCAAGAGCGCGCATTATACGCACACCTATGGCAGGTCCACCTCTTTCTTTGCAACAAGCCTGGCCACACCCAAGTCCCGGGTTCTTTCAGTCAAATATTCAAGGATTGCTCAGTCTTTGGGATGTTTCAGGCGCTTGGGAGCGGCTGGGCGTGTTTCAAAGCTCTAAGGACCTGCCATACTACAGCATACGCATTTGAAAGTGTGCGGCAGCTTCGCGCCAGGGTGTCGCATCATAGCCGCACCTAGGATATCAACGCCTCTGCCATCTGCAGGTTTCAGGAACACGCGCACTTTCATCTTGACACGTACCTGCGCTCGCCCTCAGCAGCCCGGACAGAGATCGTGGGCATGGCCGCATGTCCTGGCGCCTAGCCCGCGGTCCCTCACAGACGCTACTATGACAAGTCAAAATGATGATCTTCTAGGCCACGGCCTTGAGTGGTGGCCAGAAAGCATTCCTCTCACTCTGGACGCTGCTCTTGGGGACCCTGGCCTGATGCAGCAGGACCTGCTGGGTGGCCCTCCTGGGCCCATGCATCATGATGAACAGCACGAAATGTTGCAGCAGCAGCCGCAGCAGCAGCAGGCACAACCCCAGGCGCAGCAGCAGCAACAGCAGCAGCACCCGCAGCAGCAGCACCAGCAGCACCAGCACCTGCCCGGCAAGGCCGCCTTTCCCCCGGGCATGGGTGTGCCTGGCATGGATCACTTTCACGTAAGCGGGGATCTCGGGGCGCGTTGAGCTTATGGGGCCTTGCAGCAGCCCTCGCGTGATCTTGTCCGTCACTTTTCCCCGCAGGGCACACCCTACGGCATGCAAGCTGTGCCCATGCAGCCAGGCCACTTTGAACATCTGCTCAACGCAATGCCCGTGACGGGTCACTCGTTGAGCTCGTCGTTCGCAACGGACAACGTGCACATGAGCGGAGCCCAGCCCACGCTCTATCTGGCCGCGGGTTTCAACATGGCCGGTTCCAAGCCAGGTGTGTTGGTGGCGTACGTGTGCGCTGGGCTGGGGAAGCAGAATCGACTGTGTGCATCGCCAGCGGTCCTCGAAGCAGATGCGCCCCGCCAACAAGGTCACTGTGTATTACGCCTGCGCTGCAGGCGTGAGTGCGGCTGGCTCGGCTGGCGGCGGTGGCGGTGGCGGCAGCAAGACGCGCCTGCGATGGACGCCCGAGCTCCACTCGTCATTTGTGCGCTCCGTGCAGCAGCTGGGAGGGCCCGACAAGGCGACGCCCAAGGGCATCCTGAAAGCCATGAACATGGATGGCCTCACCATTTTCCACATCAAGAGCCACCTGCAGAAGTACCGCCTGAATGCGCGCGTGCCCGGCGCCAGCAGCGTTGACGGTGGCAGCGATGGCTGCGCGGCTGGGGACTCGGCAGAGGGTATGAGCGGAGCAGTGGCGGGCGGCACAGCGGGGACAGGCGTGGTGGGGGCGGCACGGGGTGACAGCGGAGAACTGAACTCAGCGGAGGGCGGGGTTATGACTGCGGCGTCGCTCGCAGCGTCGGTGCCACCCCCGCCAACAGCTCTCGGCATGCCAGCAGGCCCAACGTGCACCCTGGCAATGGCAGCAGAGGGCCCCCTGGCAGGCAGCAGCTTGATGGCAAGCAGACAGCAGCAGGCCGAGCAGCAGCAGCAGCAGCAGCAGCAGCAGCAACACGGGTCGGAGCAGCCACATTCAGATGCAGGGGCGGCTGCCACCACCTCACGGCAAGCTGGGGCTGCTGTCTCGGGCTTGGGCGTCAACGTCGCAGGCAACAGCGGCAGCCGACCGGCCTCTGCAGCTTTAGACGGGCTGGGCAGCGTCCCCGTGTCTGCCCTGACGCGCAAGAATCTGGAGGACGCCTTGGTGCTGCAGATGGAGCTCCAGAAAAAGCTCCACGAGCAGCTCGAGGTGGGGCCTGCACCTGAAAGACATGGGGCGGTGCACACATCTTATCTATCTGACGTCTTGTGTGTTGCGCTACAGCTGTGGTCTCCGCCGGTGTCCGCTTGCCATGACATTTTGAGTTCAGATCTGCCTACCTCTCCCCCCAGGCTTGCTCCAACATTAAGCGCTGTCACACATTTTGTTGTCTTATCGTCCTGCCCCTCTCCACCCACAGTCCCAGCGGCAGCTGCAGCTGAGCCTGGAAGCTCACGGCCGTTACATAGCCAGCCTCATGGAGCAGGAGGGCCTGGGACACAGGTTGCAGGACATTGCCGGCATCACTGCACCCGGGCCCGCGCCCGCCAGCGGTGTCGGACGCGCGGCAGGCGTGACCGCCGGCGCTGAGGCGTGCAGGATTGCTGAGCAGGGCACGGGCGGGGCGAGATCGTGCACACCGGCATGCAGCGCACACCAGGCGGGGCCGCAGTCGGGGCCGCCGCAGCCACGGCCTCAGCCCCTGGGCCCTGCACCTGTGTCTGACACAAGTGCAGAAGCGCCGAACATTCAGCAGCAGCAACAGCAGCAGCAGCAGCAGCAGCAGCCGGCGGACTCTAGTGAAGCGCCTTCAGAGTCAGAGGGTGTCCCGAGCGCGAAGCGAGCGCGGTTGCGCAGCGTGTCTTGATGCTATTTGGCTCAAGCAGTCGAAGCCCGTGTTGTTGCGTGCAAGTGCAGAACGCATCGTGTTGATGCTTGGTAGCTGCGGCTTAATTGCTTGTTTCAAGGCTTTCTGCGCTGATGCCAGGGGCTGCTGCTGCTGCGATGTCCTCCTATGACACCTGCCATGAGCAGCGCTACTCACTACCATCCTCATCCGTGCACCCGGTTGCCCCTCCCTGCGACACACAGCGCATGCTTAGGGGGCCTGTGCTCTCGGCATGCGGTCTCATGGGATACCTTACACGGCGCCTGAACTGCATGACTCTCACGCCTGACGGTTTGCTGCACCTGCTTTCGCCCACGTCGTTTTCGTTCGCACCTGATCCCCAGTGCTGTTGTCGATGGAGCGCTAACATGGGGTGCAGGCATGATGCGGGGCTGATGACAGCCGCATAGCTGCCGCCATCTTGGTGGCTGCGGTGGAATCAGGGTGTTGCCTGTAGTTGGCACATGTGTTTTTTTTGTGACGCTGTCGTACGGTTTTACTTGTTGCCCCCAGACCATGATGGCCCGCCCAAGGCTAAACCCGTGACTTGCATTATTTTCTCAAGGGCATCATAGACTTTGGCCCCCACTGGCACATACACCCAACACGAGTGGCGGCCGTGCTGGTCATACATCAGCCTCCACGGGCACAGGGGGCAGCATGCAGCAAGCCCGCGCAGGCCAGGCACGCAGCCCAGCCTGGCTTTTGAAGTTGTGACAACGCTTTCCCTGCTGAACTGAGCATCAAAACTGCTCTTATTGTACATGACACCAGGGTAACAGGCATTTTCTGCGCACACTCTATGTTGCGGCTGGGCAGGGATGTTGCATTACATTATGCGACCAGGTGTCCAGCCAGCTGTTGGTTAGTCATCAGGCTAGGGTACCACCCAGGCTGGATCAGCAGTTCCAGGGATGACATGTTGCAATGCGTGGTGACCTGTGGGTATCGAGGTCGAGGAAACCCCAAGTCAGCGGCGGGCAGCTCCTGCTGCTGCTGCTGCTGCTGCTGCTGCTGCTGCTGCTTATGCTGCTGCTGCTGCTGCTGCTGCTGCTGCTGCTGCTGCTGCTGCTGCTGCTGCTGCTGCTGCTGCTGCTGCTGCTGCTGCTGCTGCTGCTGCTGCTGCTGCTGCTGCTGCTGCGGCTGGTGCGACGGCCGCTGGGTTGCCACCTGCCGGTGCCATGTGTCTGCTTGGTTGGGATGCGACTGGTCTTCCTTCGGAAGCGCAGCTGCTGCATCGCTGATTAGCTTTCTGATTTCAGCCTTGCGCGCTGCCCTTGGTGTACCAGCGTGGGCCATCTGCGGGGCTGGCGGCTGCTTGAGGGGTCTGACAGCAGCTGCTGCAATTGCTGCGACACTTTCAGCGCCAGGGCCGCCGCCCAGCCCTGCGGTTGCCGCGGCCTGCAGCGCCCGCACCGCCGCCGCCTGCAGCTGACGCTGCTCGGTCGCCGCCTCCAGCTGCCAGCGCGCCGTTTCAGCAGCAAATCTGGCGGTCTGCACCTCAAGCTGCGCCCTGTGGTCGCAAGCGGCAGCCTCCAGCTGGAGTCTGAGTGCACATAGCTCTTTGGATGCTATATCTGCCGCGGCATTCCCACCCGCCTGCATGCCATGGTCCCGCTCCAACTGCAGGCGCAGGTCTTGGAGGGAGCTCTCAGCAGCTGCCATGCGAGCCTCGCACGCGTCTGCACGGTCATGTGCCTCCTGCAGGCGACAGGGTTGAGCGCAGGCTTGGCTTGGTCGGTTCGGTTGGTGAGGATGACAGGAAATTGCTGTACTTCACATCATCACAACAAGGTTTGCTGCCCTAACGCAGGGACGGCCAGCACAAATATTGCATTGCGCGGGAAAGGCCGATACAACTGGCAGTCTCAGGGCCAGCGCTGTCTTCTGATTTGTGACTGGTTGCACACTCACGCACCTTGGCATCTCGCTGCCAGCCCTCTGCCAACACCTTTTGCACAGCTGCATCCTTGCTTTCCTGCTCCAGCTGAGCCTGGAGCCGCGTCGTTCCTGCGACGGCAGCGTCGCGTGCAGCTGCAGCTGCGCTGAGGTGTTCATCTCGGGTGAGCTCTACTAGCTTCGTTGCATCCGCGAGCTGGCGGCTCAGGTCCTGCATCAAATGTATTTTGAATCTTCAGAAAGCTTGTGTTTGTGGGGTGGTGGTGGTGTGTGTGCGTGCGTGCGTGCGTGTGTGTGTGTGTGTGTGTGTGTGTGTGTGTGTGTGTGTTGCTGCCAGAATTCGGGTCAATGTTGGCCTTAAGTGCATGCATGCGTGGAACTTGCAGCAGCTCGGCCTGCTGTCACTCGGTCGCCACCTGTGCGTGCGCTGCATAGTCCCGAGCCGCTGCCTGTGCCGCAGTCCGCGCCTTCTCGGCTGTGGCTGTTGTGCGGTTGGCGTCCCTGAGTCGCACTGCCAGCAGTCCTGCCTGCTTGTGTACAGTTGCCAGCTCAACGTCCTGGTCGCTGCAGCGCTGCGCCGCAACTGCCAGCTGGCCTGAGCGTGCCATGCACGGCGCGGTCAGGGATGATTAAGGGGTGTCAATACATCAAACATTTTGAACGGAGTGCGACACTTGCTCCTGGGCGCAAGCCCAAGTTTCCATTCCACGCAGCCCCAGTACCCTGTCATGTGCATGCATGCTGCTGGGGAGCGCACCTTCCAGCCCCACAATTTGCTGCTGCAGGACGCCCATTTGCTGGTTATGCTGGTGTTGCTGCGCCGCCAGCCGCTGCTCCGACTCCCGCATCCTGTCCGCCTCACAACGCTTAAAGATGTCGGTCAACTCGCGCAGGCGCTCCGCGTCGGCCAAGGCCTTGGAAAGCGCATCTGCCGTCGCCACCCCTGCGAATGCCCCATCATTGTCGGTGCGTGCCCAGACGTCCCCATTTAGGCTTCACTGCAAAGTCAGGTGCAAACAGTCCCCAAACAAACAGCCCCATCTACATCTGCCAGCCTACCCGTAGCCCAGCCCGCACATCTCCGCACCCACCCTCTTTTTGCAGCCGAGCCATCTCGCTCTCCAGCCGTTGTCGCTCCCGGCGTGCCGAGGCCTGCTCTGCTACCAGCTGCCGCAGCTGCCCCCGCCCCGTGTCTGCCTCGCCCTGCGCTCGGGCCAGCTGCTGCCGCGCCTCCTGCAGTGACATGCCCGTGAGTTCTGCTTCAGAGGCCAGCGCGGCAAGCTGCTCCCGGGCCGCGCTGAGGGCCTCGGCTTGCTGCTGACTCGCCAGCTGGAGCCCAGCCGCCTCGCCCTCCGCAAACTCTGCCGCAGCAGTCAGGCGGTGTGCCTCGGTCTCGAGCGCGGCGTTTTGCTTCTCCACGTCCACAATCACGGATTGCAGGTCACCTGCGGTCTGCTTGGACTGTGCCAGCTCTGCGTGCAGCTCATCAACGCGTTCCTGCAGGCGGCGCTCCAAGCTCTGTGCGTCCTCCCTCAGACGGGCCTCCGTCCGTTTCGCCTCAGACCGCAGCTGCTGCTCTGTCCGAGCGGCGTCCTGTCTGGCAACATCAAAGTCACTTTGGAGCATGGCCATAGCCGACTTGGAAGCTGCTTGTAGATGGGGACAGTGGTGTGACGAGGGGCTCGTTGTACGACGTCTTGCCATTGGGCAAAGCTGGTTGACCTGGATCCCAGCTCCTGAGCACGAGGGACACACGCAGTGGACATGCACAATGCACAACGTTTGGCATGTTGAGGAGTTACATGTGTGTCTGTGCATCATGCTTACCTGCAAGTTCCTTTGTCACAGCAGCATACTGTATTTCCAGTCGCAACTTGCGTCCCTCCAAGCAGCTGCACCGCGCATCAGCCTCGCGGATGCGCGACAACACCAGGCACAGCAGTGTTTCCAGGTCAGTGGCCGCTTGCTGGACACCTGGATGGCACGCAAACGGGGGGCATATGGCACATGTTTTTCGCTCGTTTTTCGCAGCAGCAGTGGCGCTGTTGTGCAGCTGTTGAGACTTACCGCTCTGGGGTGCAAGCTCTGTTCCGGCCAAACCCAACGCACAATACCTGTGCCAACCAAGATGCCCACCTGGCCACGATGAGGCAGTGCTGTCCAAGATGTTCAAAACCTATTGAGAGCATGCGTGCAATTCAGGAGCAGACAGCAGTGCTTGTGTGATAAAGCACAGTACCTCAGTACGGTATGCAGCGCAAGGGCGCCACACCACAGCAGCACATGAGGGTGGATTTGCCCTGCACCACTAACCGTCAGCCCGTCGCGCAGCCGTTTGGCTGCAATCAGCATTCCGTTGATGAGATCTTGCGTTGATATCCCGTCCTCCGCATTATCGCCTGATTCATTCGGTTCGGCCCCCATCGCAAAGTCAAACAGCGTTCAGACTCCGCAGGTGAAGTGTTTTTCGTTTTTACAAGGCCTAAGCATATTACTTACCGTATTTGCATGCGCAGGGATCAGGTGCCACGTGAAATGCAGCTGCCTTCCATGCACTTTCTTGATGGTGTCCACCACCCTGAAGCTCAGCCTCTCAGCCTGATGGCATGATCAGGACACATGCGCTGCATATCTTTCAAAGTGCACGAACCTGATTGCGCCTGTGAGTAGTAGCATTTGTGCAACACAAGCTGGCGAATCCGCCATTGCCGTAGGGCATACGCGTACATGAGTACAGCGTCCCCACAACACTGATGCAATGACGGTCCTTACAACGCTGGGCACGAGCGCACCACAACAGCAACACAAGATACGATTGCTTGTCAAGAAGATGGGCCCACAGCTGCAAGACCTCTCCCCATCTCACAAGTCATAGTGCTGCCGCCTGGCCCTCGCTGGCATGGTCCCCACAGGCTGCCTCTGGCGTTCCGGGAACGTACTGCGGGCCCCCCGCAGCCGCTGTGCGCGCCACGCCCGCCAGCAGGTTGTGCCTGACAATCGGCAGGCAGCGCACCACCAGAGCAAGTCGCGCCAGGGGCATACGGTACAGAAAGCAGTTCTCCACGGCCTGGTTTCGGGCCGAAGGGTTTGAGTAGGCAGAAGGGGTTTGTTCTCGTGGGTTTCAGGACGGTTAAGTCAATTGGGCTGGCCCAATGCAATTGACACTACATGGTCAACAGCCAGAACAGTAAAGCACGCGGTCGCATGGCGGTGAGGATGGGCAAGTCATGGAGGCCGGGCTCTGCTCAATTGTTGGTGGGAAAAGTGCAATAGCACGTCAGGCCACCATCAAAATTTGTGGCGGCCTCAAAGCTAGGACTGACGCTTGCCTGGAGGCCAAAGGTGTAGCAGGGGGCCACTGGTAACGGCGGGGAGCAGCTGCTGTGCGATTTGTTGATTGGTTTGTTGAGGCCAAACGTGCGTGCCAGCGTTTCCACTGGAAACTAATTATGCAGTCGAGCCTGCGCATGCAGGTGAGTCCCCAACATCAGCCGGGCACGCGGGCCCATATCGGCCCCCTCACAGCCTGGCATGGTGCCTTGCCCACCTCGCGGCGCCTCCATTTCCAGCTGCCTTCCGCAGCCCCAGCCTCAGCCCGTGGTTCGGGTGTGTGTGCGCATGGGGTGGCGTCCCGGCCAGCTCCTGCTCCTGCTGGTGCTCCAGCCACGCTGCCAGGTCAAAAGGGGCCACCAGTGCGGGGCCCTGGATGGTGGGCCCGCCAGGAAGCACGCCCCGGAGCGTGGCTAGGTGACCCTCCTGCGGTGGGTCAGGCAGCAAGGGAGGTGAAGGTCGCGCAGTGGGGCAGGGGGGCTGGGCCACTAGTGCCGCACAGTGATTTGGCTCGTGACGTGTCACATGCGGAATTGTTATCGGGTGAGCTGGGCATTTCAAATGATGCGGCTTTGCTGACGGCAACACAATTTTGGGGGCGTGACACAGCAATGGAGTTGCAACGACACACTGCGCCAGACTCACCTGCAGGAGCCAGATGCTGTCTGCACCGGCTCCTTCCCAGCACAGTGTGTGGCCTGTGCACAGCGGCGCCACCTCCAACTGCGCCAGCACATGGTGCGCCTCATCCTTTGAGACACCAGACAGCAGCTGCAGGCCCAACGGGGTCACTTCCTGCAGTGCATGGATAGCGGCGTGTGTGAAAAGAGGCAGAATACGCGCTGGAAAGGGCTTGGAAACAAAAACCAAGAGTGCAATGGTCGCAGTCGGTAGGAGCAATTTGCATTCAAAGCAACAGAAGACGTGAGGCTGCCAACAGGCAACATGCTGCGCTCCAGCGCTCGCTCACTTTACAGCTGCAACCAAGCCCGTCAAAACAGCGGAAAGGGTCAAGCGGCTAAGGTGGATGAAGGACGCTGCGTGGAGCGTGTGGCGCTTCCGAGCAGTACGTGCGTCCTGCTGTCATCTCATTCCTGGCATGTGCTCAAGCAGCCAGGCCCCCCTTACCGGGTGGTGGCGGAAGAACACCTGGTAGAGCAGCTCGCCCCTCAGCTGAGCAGGCAGCTCAACCAGCAGCTTGCCCCATGTGGTCGCTACCATTGCGTGGTCAAGCCCGGGGCCCTGGTAGAAACTGGGATAGTAGTGGACGCCAGCGGGCGGCAAGATGTCAGGGGGCATCATGCAGACCACGTACCAGGAAGATGCGCCACAGCATCAACTTGGGGATAATAATTAGGAGAAGATCATTGGAACCACGGACCAGAGACTGTGCTGAAAACAGTCAAGACAAACAGGCGCTGCTGGGGCCAAAGCAGGTCTGGCTGGCCATTTGGTCATTGCTGACCACAGGCTAGCCCTCAAAACGTCCCAGCCCACTCACGCCAGCAGCTTGTCCATGACTTCGCGTGACGTGGATTGCCACCGCGCCCAGGTGGACAGGGTGCGGCCCCGCTCGCGCAGCAGAGCGATGCGTTGGGCGCCCTCGTCCTATTTATTTGGGGGGGGGGTGGAATTTTCTCTTGGGTGAACGCGTGACGTGAGAGTGGCAAACGGACATGTACGGGGGGACACCAGAGGGGTGAGGAAGTACCGGGAGCACTTCAGGAAGATACAGCGGCCACGGCGCACGTCCATGCTGCAGATCAGTGCATGTGACAGCACCACTGTGCCATGCTGTGTAAGTGCAAGTGCATGCTCGCAAGAGCCATGACGAGGGCGCTCGTGCGTTGCTGCACTGGCGTGCGCACTTGCAGGGCCGCCTCAAGCAGGACGTCAACCATTGACTTGACTGAGAAAGCGATGAAGGTCACACCCTGTGACATGCCGGGGACATGTTGGGTCACAAAAGGTGCAATCAGAAAGGAAAAAACAGCACAAACTATGGGGTTGGCATCAGGTTGGACTCTTCCAACAAGCACTAGCATTCGGCTTGTTCAAGAGCCAAGCGCGCAACGTGCTCACCGTCAGAACTGTCAGCACGACTGCCATCTGCTCGAGCGCTGTGCCACCGCTGATGTCACCATAACCGACTGAGCCAATCATGTAGGTGAGCAAGAGATGCGGACATGTGTAAGAGGAGAAGTTGCAGCAGGATGCTCTGGTAGCTGATACAAACGTGGCGTTCCCCAGCATCAGATTTCGAGGAGCACACGGTCAATGCAGGACGAACCGAGGTCAAAGGCGCAAGCCGCAGCGCGTGGCCGCTCACCCGTGCAGGCTGTCACAACAACAAAGTAAATGGCCCTGAGTGTCACGGCATGAGGTGAGCGCAGGGAAGGGTGGTCGATGTGTGTGTGTGTGTGTGTGTGTGTGTGTGTGTGTGTGTGTGTGTGTGTGTGTGTGTGTGTGTGTGTGTGTGTG